CAGCCAAAGAACGTGATCACAATGATAAACGATCCAATCACTATCAAAAATGTTGGTATCGAAAAGAATTTGCCGACCAAAAAGTCCTCATAGTCATTGAAAACGGCGCCAACGCCAGCCCCAACAGCTATAAGTATAATGCCAGTGATCTGTCAATAAAATAAATATTTTTGAATTAAATGATATTTTTCATATGCATATAAATATTGAACATTAATTTCAATTAATTTAAAAAAATATATATGTATAAATATATGTATTACAAATTATATGAATAAATATTTAATAAATTAATAAGAATAAAGTAGGAATATATACACCTACTTCTTTAAAAAATAAATAATTATGATTTTTAGCTTCAAAAAATCAACGATATATCAATATATTTTTATTTTTCAATATTCCGATTGTAATATCTTACGTTTATTTATTAAATACTTAAAATTTATTTCTGAAATTGTTCAAATATTATTTTCTTTAATTAAAGTAAAAGTTCAATTACATTGATTTTTAGACTCATTCACGAAAGTGAAATGAGTATATTTGTTCTATGCAATGTCTGGCCGTCTGTCCATACATATACTCGTGTATCGAATTATAATATTAAGATTTGTATGACAAATTGCAAAATGCATTTTCCGGTATCTCAAAAATATAGTACAGTCGAGTCTCGATATTTCTTATAATGTAGCTACATCGAAAATCGCGATAAATCGAACAAAATTCTATCCCCTTGGAAGGTATTCGTTTTCTCTTGCCATTTCGAATTATCGGGATTCTACTGTAGTTGAAGTGATAAGGAGGATATATCCCGCGTTGCAAATTGGAAAAATTTTAGCGTCCAATTGTATTATGCAAAATTATATTTTAAGTGGGTTCAGTAGGGTGAACAATGTATCACGCAGTCGGTTGCGCCCGATTGCAACGCTTTTAATGCAAGTTTTTTTTAATGCAATTTAATTATTATTATTATTTTTTTTTTTTTTAATTTTAATTCATTAATAGAATGAAACCTATAAATATTCCAAGTGTTGACTCATAAATATTTCTAGCAGCCCATCAGAGTATAGACAATAGATAACATATGTTTCTTATCTTAATTACTTAAACCAAAAATTTGTCAGTGTCTGAATTTATCGAACAAAATGTGAATATTATAAATATGTGAGTATATACGTGAATATATATTGGAAAGCGTAAAAGTAATGTTAAAAAATGTAATGTAAAAAAAAAAAAAAAAAAAAAAAATAAAATAAAAATAGAAAATATTAATTTTTTATTGTTTCAACTAGAACAAGCTTTGCGGCTATATGTTAGTTGTATATAATATACGCTCCAGCACTGCCTATCTAATCTATATATATATATATATATATATATATTCGTAGATAGTCGAACTAATTCCCGTTGGACTATGAACTAATGTAAATTCTATTGTAACTAATGATGAGTCAGACTCATTATTAACTTGTTTTGCGACTTACCAAAAAGATCAGATTAAATCCAAAAAGTGTGTATTTCACAGCATTTGCGCTGCCCGTTAGTAGCGACATGTTTACGGTTTTCTAAACACTCTGAAAGCAAGAAATATATATATATATATAGTGTTATTGGAAGCGGAAGATAATGCCCATTATCTATACCCACAATAATTGAACAAACAACAAATATGCACAACCGTCTAGTAGTAAAGACAAAACGTTAATAAATGGCGCTCAACAAGAAAACGAAGTCAGCATTTGTTTCTTTCCATTATTTCTAATCAGAGCACAAAAAAAGCTGGAAATAAAATACATACAGCAAAATAGAAAAATAAAATTGCGTTGTCTTATCGGTAAATGATATGGCAAACACTTTGTTTAAGCCAAATGTGGTCAGTGAGCGAATGACTCTTGTTGCTGTTGTTGTTGTTATTGTTGTTGCTGCTGTTGAGACAAGATAAACCCCATTTGGGGGCGATTAGATAAGGCACTTAATAGCATAAGCTAAGCAAATTGTTGTATATATTCAAACACATATAATATATACATTGATGCATTTATATGCTTAGTTTGTTGCATGTTAAGTATACGCCAGAGAGAGCAGAATTCATGGGAAATTAAAAAAAAAAAAGCAATGTAGCAAGTAAGCATTATTTATAATTAGGTATACTAGTATATGTATTTATAACAGAAATTAAATTAATATATATTTTTTTAAATTATTATTTAAATTATTTACCAATGTAAAAAAAAAAAGAAGAAATAATAATAATAAATAAAGATCAAATATAGTTGAGATATAACGAGATATTAAGATAAATTGAAATTAATCAATTATATTTAACTTAAATTTTTTTATTTATTTTTTTCATATTTATTTATTGCTCATGGAAATTGTTATTATTGTTTCGTTTATGATTATTTTGCAATTTCTTTTCTTTGTAAACACAAACAAATTAACTTTTTTTGAGCGCCTACAGGTGATAATTCATAATTAAATATATTTCTGTGCATATACATTTCTGTAATTATTTAATACATTAAATTAGTATTTTTATTTTTTGAATAACAATACAAAAATTAAATTCTTATAAAGAGACAAAAAATTTGTTAAATTTTAATACAAATATAAATATTAATAACACAAAATTGTTAAACTCAAACACAATAAATTAAATCATTGCAAAGTAAATAACTTTGTTATAAAAGTATTACTTCTTAAAATATTATTATATTATTTTAAATAATTTTTGCTACACGTTTGCAAAAGTTCAAGGTAAAAGATGAAAGTCAAAGCAGTTATTTTTGTAAATCGTCAAAATTCTTTATTTATTATATAGCGTATATTTATTTCAGAGCGTGGTAATGTATATTATTATATATACAAAAATATATTTATAAAAATTATATTATATATACAAAAATATATTTATTAAAATATATTTGTACAACTCTCAAAAGTCTGTTCATAGATACATTAATCTCTATCATAAAAGCTTTCGCCGTGAGAGTTGGCTTATCGAAATTTATAGAAGCATTGAACACCTGAGCACAATTTCAATGCTAGTTCATAAATAAGTTCTGTGTATATACAGACGATGTAGGCTTGTATAACGACTGTTTTTATTTCGCAATAATGATAGTTATCTGATTAGGCCCATATGAGTCATGCCGGCTGAATCATCAAATGATTGGCATATAAATTTACAGATATATTTTAAAATCAAAACTTGCGTTCAAGAAATCTTTTAAATTTAGATTTTGATTCAATTGGTTATGCATAATATTTGTAGTTTATTTCGCTGTGAGAAGTTCTCGACACCCGTTGCTATATAGTATATTTACTCACTTCTCTGTCAGCCGGCAAACAGCTCGTTACAAGTAACTGGCGTAGGTAACAACGTTTCGAATACAACTGAGCGGCCCCTTCAGCCTTCACGTATTAAAAATCACATTGACGTGTGCCGTTTCTACACCCAGACATATCTATATATACGCCACACATATATATATATAACATATATATTTATACACATGCACACATGTATATACAGACGCATCTGTTTACCTACATATGTAGATGGTCGCAGTGGCGAAAAGATAAAAAACGTTTGCACGAATGGTCGACGTACTTGGTGAAATTATAACTATAGCATTAAAATGGTTGCGAAAGCGTTGACCCGACTGTGAAATATCCTGTAATTTATATTGGGTATAGGCGAGCGAATATTTAGTTCAAATGATACGAATATCGGTCTGGATTTGCTTAGCTAGTATATTAATTTTATATATTTGATGTAACTGTATAACAGTTATAGATGTTTATATAATATATATTTAGATAAAAACTATATAAACATTCGGATATAGCTGCAATGCATGTGTGGAAACCCTTAAAGAGCGCGAAACCTTTCACAGCATTATACTTTGCATATACGGTGCATATGCGTAATATTTACTTTAGAAATTATATAAATAATACATCAGTAAACAATAAGTTTCTTATATAAAAAAAATTCAGCAAAAAAAAAAAAAAAAAAAATTATATGGGTTTTTAAATAAACAAAAATATTGCAGCTGTTCTAAATATACAATTTTAAATTAAATTATACTTTACTTTATTCAAACTTATACTCTTGAAACAATACACAAAAATAACCACATTATTCATTCAGAAAATATTTATTTTTATTTTAAAAATAATAAATCGAAATGTAGCATAAAAAACTTTACAAAAAACACAAGCTAAATTTTACATTTTTTTTGTTCGTGTGCGAAATAATTTGCATTTTAAAATGATTGTATAAATGATATATATTGTCGCATAGGCAAATTACAAAACTTAAAAACTATTAAAGAATATATATGAGTATCATTTGTTATTATAATATTTATATGAATTGATTTGGGAATCTTTCAATGTAAGACAGTGGGTTAGTTAAGTTAGTGGGGAGAGGCGGAGCCGGAGATAGAGGCGTAGGCTCTGGCATAGTTTAATACTTGAATTTTGATGTTTATGCCGAAATGTGTTTTTACAGTATTGGAAATATATAAAGATTAGAAATATATATGCATGTATGTGTATGAATGCGAAAGGAACTGCTTAGAAAAATTGCACGCATCAAATATTTAAGTTAGTTAGTTAATATATTTCTATCTCACTTTCAATAGATATTTGCCAATCGCCAGTAATTTGATTGAAATTTTTGTAAACACGTGAAAAATTTCAAAAATTACCAGATTTATTCACATAAAATTGGCATCGCATAGTGCCTTGTAAAAAAGCATTTGTATAAATCAGTTAGTTAGTCTCTTAATTATGTTTTTAGTAGTTTTCTTTTATATCCTTCGTTGCTTCGTTCATTCAGCTAGTGCTTAAGGTGACTGATAGTCCTGGTATGAGCTCTTCTAATTATTTTCTATCCTTGCCATGGCGATCCCGCTGATGCTTTGTGGCCGCAATTGTCGTTGTGGTCAGGCTATGCACATGATGCTGAGGCTGATGCTGTCCTCCATGGTGTTTGCTGCTACTATGCTGCTGCTGCTGCTGATGATGATTGTGATGATGATGATGATGATGATGTCCATTCAGTGTGCTTTTACCGTGTCTGCAGTAGAATAGAAATGAAAATATATTAGCACAATTGTAATATATAAGTTTTCAATTCAAGTTTAATATGCTTGCTACTGGTTTTTATACATATATATAACATATCCTTTTAGAGAGAGTATACCAATGTGCTACTTCCACTACGTAGTTCCAGTTTAGAAATATAGAGTAGAGCGAGCGATGTTGATGTTTATTTGTTTGCAGTTCATTTCCAATTTCATTGATGATAGATTTTATAGATTGTATTTGTTTTTTTTTTTTTCCAGCAACATGTTCATAGTCAGTGTTTAGAATTGATACTAAAAGTATAGTTTCAGCGTGCTACTAGGGTGTGAGCAGACTATTATAGTAAATATTTTCTTTTAAATACTTTTTTGGTTTTAGATTCATGCAGTTTAGTAGTTGATTAAGATATATACTAAAAACAATTCTTGTTAAGCTACTATAGAGACCGAACATTTTACTGACGATCGGCAACAAAAGAGTTGTTAACTGTAAAATTTAGCTTTGCTCCGTGCAAAATATTAAAAATATTTAAATATTTAATTTCCTATATGATACTTTTTTTTACATAGTATTTGTGTATTGATATGATTTAAACCTCTTAAAGCCCGAACTTCTTAAAAGTCTTTTTGATTCTCTTTAAAAATGTTATATCAAATCTCCCAAAGTTTAGTTTTATTTTTTAATTTATCCCCAGAATTATTTATATGAGAATAAATCAATATCCTCGAGTATTCCCTATAAAAATAAAAATATAGCTATACACGTATTTTTTATAGAAATGAAAATATTTCTCTATCTCTTCAAGTATCATTTATTATATAAAAATATAAATATATATATATATATATATATAAATATTTTTTTTTAATTATTTTTTTTTAGACCTGTGCAAAAAATAGGTAATGTTAATTTCAATTGAACTACATTTTTTTAAAATAACACCCTTATCATATCAATAAATTAAATTGAGTTAAAGCGTAAAGGAATTGAGTCTCATTAGTTTTGTTGTTTGTTGGTTTGAAAAGTTAGTTCAGCAGTACTACAGAAAGTATTCCCGGTTAGCTTCTAAGTTCCTAATGCATTCACAACATGCCAACCATTTCCTTAACTAGATAAATAAAAAAAAGTGTCAAAAATTTTGAAAATTTCGCTTACGCTGTGAAAAGTAAAAACAGAACCATTTTCATTCATTGTGTGTGTTGTGTGTGCGGGGATTTTTTTATTTCATATTTTTATTTATGTGCAAGGCGGCGTGTGCTCCAAAGTAAAATACATATATAAACCCGTCGCTTCAGCCTGCACTATCACTCCTCTTCTCTCTGTATCATTCCCTTTCACACTGTCTGTCGCCCGCTCGAGTTTTTAAGTAGTATTAGTATGGGGAAGGAACACGGGTTAGATAACTGCGCATCGTTCTTTTCGATAAATAATTTGTTTACTAAAATTCGTGTTGATTTGCGTGCTGCGTTTCGTGAGGTAAGTATCAAAAAATGCCCAGAAAAATATCAGAAATCTATATAAAGGTGGGAATATTGTTGGCGTGCATAGGTGGTTAAACGTGAGCGAAAAACTGTGACTTTGACTGTGACTGTGACTTTGACTGTGACTGTGATTGTGTGTCAGTGTCACTGCCTGTTAACTGTGACGAGATCCGGTTTGCGCCCATCCATGCGCGACTTGCTATTTGGTTTTTGTGATCTGCTCCAGCGCTGACTATGAACATGTGCAGATGCCGAAGGGCTGGTGCGTGGAGACGCTGCTGCGCACCTGCCGCATGCGCAAACGCTTTGGCCAACTGCCCAGACGTCCGGCCAGCGGACCACTGGCGTTGCCAGCAGCAATACCAGCACCGCCACCACGTCCACTGCTGCCAAAGAGCTGGGCGTGATCGTTGCTCAAATTGTGCTGATAGGGCCGCAGTTTGCTGCCAGCCAACGTGGCAGGCGCTGCGTACAGCAGATAATTGTCATAGACATGGCTAACGTTCGAGTTGCGCTTGGCCGGCAAATAGGGCAGAAAGGCAAAGCTCGAGCTGGTCGACTGGGTGCATTTCAGAGATGATTTGCGCGTTGGCTGCTTGCAGCGCAATGTCGATTGATTCGAGTAGCTGGCCGCCTGTGGTATCATCTCCAGCTTAATGCGATGCTCGTAGGCGGCAGTGGGCGTGGCAGTGGTACGTATGGGCACGGGCAATAGCGAACGTTTGCGTTTGCGACGCGGCGGCGGCAATGGCAGCGGCAATGCTTGTTCTGTAGGCTTTACTGTTGTTGTAGTTGTTGTTGTTGCTGTTGCTGTTGCCCCATCATCGATGCTGGCATAGTCGGTATCCTCGGCGGTTTGTGTATTGGCTAAATTCGTTACGTATACGTACGTCAGTTCGTTGTGCGGTGTTGTTGTGGTTGTTGTTGTGCTGCTGATTGGTGCCGTAGCTGTTGCTGTTGCTGTTGTTGCTGTCGCTTGTGCTGTTGCTGTTGTTGATTTGTGCACTGTTGTGGATTTTGTTGTTGCTTTAGCAGTTGCTGCTGTTGCTGCTGTGGACTTTCTATGTGCGGACATTGATGTGTCGTGATTGTGGCTGCTGCTGCTGCTGCGACTGCTTTTGCTCGACTTGTGCGCAGCTGCGCTCGGCTCACTGTGTCTGGAGCGACTGGAGTGACCTGTGTGTGGAATGGCAACGGCATTAAATGAGTGACAATTCAATGTACGAGCAGAGAGTTAGAATCATCTAAAATTTAACTCGACTGAACTACTGACTGTTAGCTGAAGGTTTAGACTAACTGTGTAGGTGTTGTTGTGGGTGTGGCCGTGTGTATATTGTGCGACTGTGTGCTACAGTGTGTGATGTGTTCTGGTGATCGACTTTTGCTGCTGGGAATGAATGACTCGTACTTGAATGTCAGCCAATTTGTAACTAAACTAAAGTTTCTATAACTTTACACTCAGCCCTTTTTTTTTTTTTTGCAACTATTGCAAAGAGAAATTAACAATTTTTTTCAACTGTTTGCCAAAACTATATATAGTTTCAAATTTAAACAATATTTTTAAATATCTAAGGCAATTTTGTTTCATTTTCATTTAAAGTAAAAAATTATAAAGTGATTTTACAAAAGAACAAATGAAATTAATGCAAATATTTGTAGTCATAATTAAATAAAAATAAATTTGTTTAAATCAAATAAAAATATTAAGAAAAATTGATAAAAGAATTTAATATTTTTTTGTATTTTATAACTCTGTATATAATTTACAATAAAATTTTTTTTTTCATTATATTTTATTTATTTGTCGATTTGTATATTATTTCCAATATTTTTATTTTCAATTATATTTCGATTTCAATGCGTTTTTGTATTTTTTTAGTCCATCATAATAATACATTTTGAATTTCGTTCTACAAATATTTGCTTGGATTCGTTTATTTAATTTTGTTGGTTAATTCATATTAGCTATTTATGTTGATTGAGTTAAGCAGATATAAGAAAAAATAATAAATTCAACAAACTAAACTTTTTTTTGTAAATTTTCATATTAAAAAAAAAATATACGATCGAAACACTTCATAGAAGCTACCTGTATTCACAAAAAATCTATTCCCCTTTAAATTAAGCCGAATTGAATTCGCTTTCATTCCCAGCTCTGCAGTATAGTGTATGTATAAAAACAAGTGCCGCAATAGCAAAAGTTAGCAATAGCCTTGAGCTTTTCACTTGATCTTAGCTACTTCATCAAGCTATGATCTATTGCTTTGTGCAGCTTAGTTTTCGTATTGGATGCTGTGTTCGCCGCTTGAGGCGGCTGTGGCTAACCTAAAGCGTTTGTTCAGCCGAATCGGCTGTGTGGCACCCATTATGAGCAAGCCCAAAACAAGTAACTCTGCAATAGACACACATGCATATAGTACAGCAAATAGATTAGGGCAAAGCAAACAAAGAAGGCATATTAGGCATTGTTGTCTTCGACTCGAGCAGTGGACTTACCACGCGAACGTGTTAGCTCATCTCGCTGCCTCTCAGAGCCCCGTGCTCGCTCTCGCTCCTTCTCTCGCTCGCTGGTGCGCTGCGAGCTGCTGGGGCGTGGACGACCCTCTTCGGTGACGCGCATGGAGCGCAACAGTCGACTGCCCGGGGCAGAGCCCGAACTGTGCTTGGTCGAGTGCTCGCCGCCGTGCTCCTTCTCGCGATGGCGGCTGTGGTGGTGCGAGCGCTTGCTCTCCACTGCCGCCGCCGAACTGGAGCTGCTGCGTAGCTTGCTGCTGCTGCCGCTCGGTTTGTTGCCGCTACTGCTCTGCCTGGACGAACGATGCTCGGCTGGCTCGTGGCGTGTCTTCTCGCGCTTGGGCGTGCGCATGCGCAAGCGCTCTACGCGCTGTTTGCTCATTTGCTCATCCGAGGAGCCGCCGCCGTGGGTCATCGACTCACGCGAACTGGAACGCGAACGATCGCGCGGACAGCACTCGATTGACGACTGAGACGAGCTGCGTGCTCGCGTCGGCGACGGCGTCGATTGCCGGGAATTGCGTCGCGCCTCCGAGGCGAAGGTGCCGCGAGTGACACTCAATGCCTTGGTGGCATCGGCCTTGACCCTCTCATCGATGGTGGCCAAGGGCTTGGCGCTGCGCCTCTGCAGCGAGCACGAACGACGTCGCTGATCCTTGAAAGCGGCCTCATCGGAGAGGGCCTAAAAAAAATAGCACAGATTAAGTTACAAACATTGCAATAGTTAATCTACGAACAGAAACTCACTTTCATTGTCTGATCAGCGTTGCGTGTCATCTCGCTGAGTATTTGCGCATCGCGCTGCAAATCCGTTTTACGCTCGTAGCAGCCCGGCGACGGCGACGGCGACTTGACCCTAAACGTTGTGGTCAGCTCGTTGGCTATGTTCTCATAGCAGTGCTCCTCTTCTTCCTGCTGCTCATTCTCCTCCTCCTGCTCAGCTAATTCATGATTGTCGTAGACGTTGTTGCCATCATCGTTGGCCTGCGGACTGTGCCGCAGTAAATCGGGTCGATCGTTCAATAGTTGCCACTTGGTTGTGGTTGTTGTTGTTGTAGTTGTTATTGCTGATGGATTCGTTGCCTCCTCGGCGTGGCTCTGCTTGCTGCGCGTGGGCAGCGTGCGTCGTGGATTACTGGGCGTGGCCTGCAGCTTATTGCCGCTCTGCGTGGTCATCGGCGAATGTTGTACACCAAAATAGGAGAGCTCATGCTCCCGCAACTTGCGTGCGCCGCGTGCTTCGCGAACAATCTTAAGAGACTCGCTGCCCGACTCATTGTCTCCATTGTCCGTGTGTACATGTGCTGGTAACTGTTGGGGCTGTGGTTGTGGCTGCACCAGCAGCGTACGTGGCTTGGCCACCGGCACCAGCTGCCCGATGCGCAGCGTGGGCGGTGTGGGCTTCGGCTTCTGCAGCCGCGGCGCATGCAACGCGATGCTCATCACATTCGACTTGGGCAGATCTGCGAACAGAACAGAGAGGATATATATATATATATATTAGCATTGATGCTTGAAGCTTTACTCAAGCTGCCTGAGCCCTACTCGCTAAGTAAACTCCTCTACCTGAACTCGGCAATGTGCCAATCCCTTTACCTGTGCGCTGCAGCGTTTGCTCTTGCGCCTCGATTTTCCAGATGGTGCGCTTGGCCTTTAGCCGGCTCCAGCTGCTCGAATACTCGGTGCCCTTGAGCACCACATCCTCGGGCGAGGAGCTGCACTGTGTGCCGTCGCCGCTATCACTGTTGTTGTTGTTGTTGCTGTTCTCACGAAAATAGCGCTTAACCTCCTCATCGGCGCTGTCCTCCTCCTGCTCGGCGGCATCATAGAGCCTACGCAGCTGTGTCAGCTGCTGGCTCACTGGGATTTGCGTATTGCCCAAGAGCTTGAGACGAGGCGGTGCGAGCGGCGTGCGAGGCAGCGAGTCGTACAGTGTGCTCCCGAATAGATCACTGCTGCTGATCGATGTGGTCGAGGTGCGGCGACTGCCCTCCTCCTGATAGCTGTGCGAGCGCAACATGGGCGTCGGCACCACAATCGTGGGCTGTATCAGAGCGGACTCGATCGAGGCAATGCTCAATCGACGCATTGCCTCATCGAATTCACTTGCCGATCGCATGGTTTTCATTATCAACGATGTCGACTTGAGGCCTTCGTCCAGGATGCGCTGATGGGCGCGCAGGTCCTGCAGCAGCAGTTCCTGTGCGCTACTGCGACGACGACCTGCATGGGGGAAATGTGCGAGAAAAATGTTGTTGGTGTTGCTTTTTGTTGTTGTTGTTGGTTTTTTTTCTGTTTGTATGAATTGCTCTCGGATTAGCCAGCAGTGTTGGGCGGAATTAATTTTGTGATAATCATGACTAAATATAAGAGTTGTTTTTGTTAAATATTTAAAAAGAGATCAATTGAATGATTTATTGATATAAATAAATTAAATTATTATATAATATAATATTCTCGATCATTTCAGTATTTTTTAAGTTTGAAATTTTTATTTAGGTTAAGTATTCGTTTTACGTTGATTTAAAACTTGTTTAAGTTAAAATGTAAAATGGTCACTATTTGATCAAAAATAGTAGTAATCAGATTACTTTATTAAAATAATGTAAAATAATATTTTTCATTAAAACACAAACTCTAAAAGAGTATTTTAATTACTAAGGGAACTTTAAATAAAACTGTTAAATTCAATAAATTGTTTACATTTTTACATATTGTTTTTGAAACTTAAAATTCTTTAAATAAATTGGAATACTAATTAGAAGTTTTAAAAAGACTTTTGAATTATAAAAAATTATTAATTGAATAGTAAATTCTGCAAAATTATAATAAGTTAAAAAAGTTTTTTTTTTTTAGATATTTTTGTTTTAATTTTTTGGTTTTTAAATTATCCGTTTTATTTGTTATTTAAATTTAAAAATTTCTGTCTACGTTTTGAAAATAGCAACAAAGCTTTAACTATTGTAAATTATGAAACAAGAATATTTATTAATATTAAATATCAATTTACGTAAATGTATATTTTAATTAATACTTATTGCTCATTCTTGAAAAAGTAAATAAATAATTTATTATAATACTGATTAAAGTTTTGTTTACATATTTTATTTGCATTTTAGGTACAACTTAGCTATTCAGTCATGATATATCATCGAGTCAAATTAGTTTTCATATGTGAATTGATACATTCCAACACTGGTTAGCAAATGAATGTATGTATTTGTGTTTGTTTTAGGTTAGGATAGTGAGTTAAGTTAATTGGCTTAGTGCGAAAGAGAAGCAGCGACATAGAGACATGCATTACGATATCAAGACTAAACAAATTGAGAATCAAGTAGAGGAGTTTACAACTAAACCGCATAGACAAAACAAAACAAAATACAAGACACTAGAAAATACAGGCACAGCAGCAACAGCTAGGCTATACATAGTTAATCGTACAATTTTCTACAACTAAATACCCACCTGTTTCAGTCCACTCCTCGGCGCCCAGATTCACATTGATCTTGGTCGAATAGCCATTTCCAGCTGGCGAAGGCTGCTGCTTCTCGAATTGCCTCTGCTCCACGATTCGGACTCGTTCGGCCACCGATTTGGTGGTTATTGGTGATTCGACAGGGGCTACGGGTGAAATCGAAATGGAATTAGTTAGATCTTGGTTTATTAAAGTCTTTGAGATAAATTTTGAAATTTACGCAAACTTTGGTTATTTGATTAAATTGTTTAGATAGGAGGAAACATCTTATTAATTAATTTATAGTTAATGCTCATACATAAATTTGTTTTTCAGAATTAATTATTTGGAAACTTTAATTAGATTATTATCTTTAAATGTTTTACTAATTGATGGCAACAAAAAAGCTTAAGATTTAATTAAATTGTATGTTTATGATTTAGTTGATTGGATAAGGTATATAGATAGTTTTTATAATTTGATAGATTGATTTTCATTTTTAGTTTAGGATTTTTAGATTTATATGGTTGCTCAATCGCAGTGAGTGTTGGAAAAAATGAGAATTAGTAAGTTAAAATTTTAATTTATGGCAATCGATTCAAACTAATAATAAATTAATTTGAAGCTTGTTGAAATTTCTAAATGCTTTGGCAGCACTCCTAAAATACATTGAATTGAATTTCTAAACCAAAGAGATTTTCTTTTCGCGAAGTTTTCACGTGTGGATTTGACTCTCATATAAAAGCCAACTCGCTTAAGTGGCTCTTATAATTAAACTCTAACTAGTTCAAGCTCACCATTATCACGACTTGGCGGACTGCTCTCACGATTCTCGCTCTTGATGGCGGCTGGAACACTCCAGAGCGCATCAGCGCTCTCGATATTCTCGCCCAGATGATAGGGTTTCGGTTTGACTGGCTTGTTCTTCAATATGCCCCGTATATTGGCCAGTTCGTCTGTTTCATTGTCGGTTGTATCCACACCGCTGGTGGAGGTGTAGCTGTGCCGCGACGTGGAGCTCGTTGTCTCCAGCAAGCTGTAGCGTGGCTCCACTAATGGTTTCGTTATGACTGTCACCTGGGTGCCGGCCACCGGTTGGGTGACCAGTTCTGGCGGCTCCATTAGTGTGGCGCGATAGGCTACTGTGGTGGAGGCTATAGTTTTGGCTCGCACTGTGGGATCGTCGCCAAAGTGGGTGACATTGTTGCTGGAGCTGTTGTTAGTGGTGGTGGTGGTGCTGCCGCTATTGCTGGTGGTGGTGGTGGTCGTGCTGCTTACACTGGCCGACTTCACCAGGCTCTGCAGCGGTCCACTGGCGGTGCGTCGACGCCGACGAAAGTTTTGCGTGGGTGGCGGCTTGCCATCAGTTTCCACAATATTAACGCGGCCCGATTCGGCAGCAAAGTGCACTTCTGTTTTACAGAACTCAACTCGTTTCTGAGCGCTGCTGCGTTGCAACTGGCTGGAGCTGTTGTTGTTGCTGCCGCCATTTATGGTATCGCCATTAACATGCACCTGCAAATGGAAATCAAAATCAATAAATTATGTCCAATGAACAAATGTAAAACACGGGTCAATGTAAAAACACGTTGAAATATTAAAGAAATTTAAATAGCTTTCTGTCTGTGCTAATTATCGATAACTTAATACAATTGAAAGGTATGGTATTTTTCTATGTGGAAAGCAAAAATTCAAAAAAGAAATTTAAATGGCTCCAATTCATACCATTTATCGATAATCAAATCAAATTGGAATGTGTGGTATTTCTGCTCGGTCGATTGCAAATACTTTGTGGAAGATATTTAAAAATATATCGGTAAGCTATTTTACTTACTCAATTTAAACTGCATTAAATGTATGCCTATGCTCAAATTGCTCAAATGGAAGAAGTACTATTGCCAATTAAACGAGCAACCCAAAAATTAATAATGGAATTATTAATCTTATGGCTGTTGAAATTTGTTCTAATATATAAATTGTGCAAAATACTGCTCTCAATTATTTAGTCTATATGACACATCGTCTCATAGAAAAGTATTTGTCTATCGATTTTTCTCATTAGACTACCAGTTGCAGTTGTTCTTCTTCTTACTTGTGAAGTTTTTCTTATATCGCGCCAAGTTTCCTCAACAGCAATCGAATGCCGCTTGCTCAACTGCTCCGTTTCGCTGCTGATTGCCGGTTTGCCCACCTGTTGCTGTCGGCCAAAGTGTATTATTGTGGAGCCGGCTCCATTTGCAGCCGCCGTTGCGGTACGCTCCGTAGGCGACCAGTTGCCCAACTGTTCACCCGAACGACCCAAGCCGCTGTCCGTGGAGGCGTCCACACGAAAAATGCTACGATTTTCGGGCGGTGACATCTTCTCAAAGCCGTACGACTTGCGACGCGAATGCCATTCACTGGAATTGTTGTCCTTTGGCCGCTGACGCGTCTCCAGGCTGTGCGTATTGTGAACAGGCCGAAATGCGGATGGCGGCGGTGGCTCAATTGTGGCCGGCTGCCTGCTGTTGGCCTGTTGCTGGTGCGCCACGAAATCCTCCTTGTAGAGACTTTCGTCCGACAGCTTCTTCAATTTGCCGCGTATCTCTTGCAGTGAGGCGGCAGTCAAAAATGTCTCACGTTTCGTTACCTGCGGCTTACTCGAAGATTGGGATGTTTTGCCTGTTGCAGCAGCTGATGCGTCGTTTGCTGCTGCTGCTGCGGCTGCTACTGATGCGGCTGTTGTGTTTAGTATGCTGTCCAGGGCTGCCAGATCCACGTGATTGTTGCGCATGGCCGTATTTAGCCTGCGTCCGTTCTCCAGCTCCGCCCGGATGCGGGCCACACTTACCGAACTGCTGGGCAAATCCAATGGCAATGGTCTGGGTCGGGATTGTGCTTTATTGTGATAGTCCTGCGACTGAAACGAGCGACGCAGTTTGCTAACGCGTCGCCAATCGCCGCACGGCAATTCCTCCTCTCCGGTCTGCTGCTGCCAGCAATCGTTGCTGAGATCATCCGTGGATATGGAACGGGAACGCTGCAAACTGCCAAAGCTGCTGTTGTTGCTGGCGTTGTTAACTGGCAACGGTGGTGCATAAACGGACTGTGACACCTGCTGGCGACGCTGATGCCGTGCGCTGAGCCTGCAAGCAGGTAAGCAAATAATGTCGCAAATGAGCAAATTGTATTTTACAAAGATTTCCAATTGAATCTCTGGCAGCACTTACCGCAAATCTTCATCGATGGAGGTGGCATCGTCATCGTTATAATGCCGGAAACTTTCCAAATCACGACGCAGCGTTGGCGTCCCCATAGCAGCGACGTCAGCAGCACCGCCCACGCGACGTTTTTGGCTGTTGTTGCTGTTGTTGCTCTGACCATATAAGTCAGCTTGCTCGAGTCGCTGGGGCCAAGTTGATGATGTTGCTGGAGCTGCTGCTGCTGTTGCTGTTGCTGTTGCTGTTGCTGTCTGTCCAACAATTGCATGTAGGCTTATTTTGCCCGCATTTCTGTGGGTGTTGTTGTTGCCAGCTGCTCCACCCGCTCCACCCGCTGCAGTTGTTAAATTTGAATTGTTGCTGCTTTGGCTGGAAATACTCGAACTGCTTTTCTGTAAATGGCAAGCAAACAAAACAAAAATATACAGATTTTGACGCATTAGCACGACTGAGTGCACTCTGAGGGCTGAGGGGCAATGGCTGTGTCTTTCATAAGGAAGTTCTTAAAAAAAAAAAAAAACTATACGAGTGAATTTCCGCATTATAAGCTCTTAAAGTATGATTGATTATGATTGACATGACTCTTGGACTCTTGGAAAGCTGGGCAAATGGTTGAGCATATTCTGATCTTATAATAAGGAGATAGAAGTAAGTTTTTATTTTAAAAGTATGACTCAATTTTATGTACTATATACTATTTAGTTTTTATGAATGTACATGAATTATTAATAGGCTTTCCAAAGAGTTTACCATATCATCAATATAGATCATATTATCGGATATATAATCGTATATTGATCAATGAAGTTATTGTGCTTTGGGGAGAGCTCTCTTTGAATAGAAATAATTTTCTTTATTATTATATAAAAAATATTAATGAATTAATTTACATTTAAAACAATACATTTTTATAAAGCAGACATTTTTTTCCTTTTATCTTTGAGAGATTTTTGGATGGAACTATCTTCTCTACGCTTAGTAAAGAATATTAAATTAATTTTAATTTAAAACCATATTTAATCACAAAATAGATAAGCTTTAAGAGTGTATGTTTTAATTAGTCAGTTTTATACAAAATTTAAAATTAATTATACGAAATATTTTTTTTTTCAGATTAAATATTTGCGGCTGTGTAACATATTCAAAAGGTAAGTGCAGCAACTGTAGATGACTTTGATTGACAAGTAATTGAAGACCTTAAAAATGAAAAAACATAATTGTTTTATAATTCTATATAGGAATCATATTAAAGAAAAATAAGTTATTTTATTGAAATAGCAATTTCAAATATTTTTATACCATTTCATTTCAACTAATAAAATATTTCCCCCACATATCATTTCGATTCCCGCATTGTCTTCGTCTTAACGAATTTCACATAATTTACAATGAAAAGAAAGAAATTTTTGTGTCAAGATTGATGGGCATGGCACTACTTCTGGTGGGCGTTGAGTTTGGCTCGAACATCATCGCGTCTCGTCTCGTCTCCGCTTGTCTCCTCACTTTGCCCCTTTCACTAAGCTAAACACTTTTTGCTGTTCGTCTAATGACGAAGTCGCGATTCGATTCGTCGCGTCGCATCGCATTTTGCCAAGAATTTCCTTTGCGGTCATGACCCAAATGTCTGCTGGCCAAAATGGTTCGATTGCCGTTAATAAATTTGGCTTAAGTGCTAAATACTTAATTGAGTTTAGCGATTCAAAATGAAATCGATTATCGATTTGTTGCCAGGCGTTTCATTCTCGACTCACATTCGGAGCGTGGTCGTCAGGCTCTAGTCGTGATCTAATGATCTATGGCGTCTAACCAATTGCCAACCGGAATATGTCAATATGTGACACATTTAAATATGTATTATATACTATATATATAATTTATTTTCTGTATTGACGTATGCTCTGTGATCAGTTTCATTTAAAGATTTGTTATTCTGTCGAGAATATATTTTACATATTTAGTTTTAGTTTTTTTTTTTCGTCAATCAGAAAACTTAAAAGCAAGAAATATATTTTATATAGTTTTTTAACATATGCAATATATTTAATTAAAAAATATGAAGAAGCTTCATTTTTGCAGTCAATCTTGAAAGGGAAATAAATAATTAATAATGTTAATAAATAAATAATTTCTTCTTTTAATTAATTGAATTTTTCAAGCTTTTTCAACTGACATTTATATTGAAGACATACTTTTCTAATATTTTGAAAAATTGTGAGGACAAAAAGGAAATTTTATTGTATTTATATTTTATATTTATATTTATTTATATTTAAATATTGTAGATAATTCGACATATTTAATCACTGAATTATCATAGAAATCATAGAAATAATTTTTTTTTTTGCCATAAAAAAAAAAAAAAATAATTTAAATGGCTGGTATAGCAGCTCTTGGTAATGTCCAGGGTAGCTCTTCGCCAGGCTTTCCCGACTAGTGCCTTCCTAACTGTTAATACTGCTTTTTAGCTCTAGTTCCCTATTTCCTTATTTATAAATGAGATGATTTTTTTGTTTGTTTTTTTGTTTTGTTTTGGTATTTATGTAAAGATCATGATTACCAGAGAAAAAAGAGTTTTTCATGATTTCCCTAACTCGAGGTTTTCTCAAGCCAAAACAGATCGTTAGGCACCATATTCGGTCATTGCCATGGCCGGGATCGCACAAAAAGAGGAAGCAGAAAGCAACAAAATGAGAGAAAAAATTGGAAAAACAGAAGCAAAACAGAAACCGTAAAGCAAACATCGCCGCATGCTAATGAGCCGCCAAACAAGCGAATGAGAAATGACGGCCCAAAGCGGCGACAACGACGACGACTACCGCATTTGGTGGAGCCTTGGCCAGGCATAGGCATGGAGCATTGGGTCTCTGTGTTTCGCGGGATGTTGGGGATGTCTGATGGATAGTTTGGATGGCTGGGTGGCTGGATGGTTGGATGGCTGGTGGAGTGGGCGGGCGGTTAGGCACAACTTACCATTAGATTGCTCAATTTCAAACTTGGCGCTGTATCGGGTAACAAATTGTGGCCGAGTTTGTGCAAATGACCGTCGTCTCCATCGCCGCCGTCGTCGTCGTCGTCGTCGTCGTCGTCAACGTCGTCGTCTGCTTGGCCATTAATCACAACAAAATCAACATGATCATCAACCAGCTCCTGGCCATGGCCAGTGCCTGATTTTGATGGAGTCGTGCATTCGTGGACGACGCCAGCGTCGCTGCCATTATGTATGCTATACTCATCATGATGTTTGACATCATTGTCATCTTCATCATCATCATCGTTGTCATCTTCGCTCAGCTCACAAATGTCAACGCCTTGGGCGGACCGAGGCGCCCATAGCGCCATTGGCGCCATGCCGCCGCCATTGGTGGTGCTGGTGGTGGCGGTGTGCTGCTGCTGTGTGGTTGTGGTGGATGAGGAGGTGGACCAACGGGATGTGGATGATGTCTTTTGTACTGTCTGTGTGCGTATCACCTGCATGGCGCCATTGGCGGTGCGCAGCACCTCCATTTGCTTGCGCTGTGTGTGCTGTGTGCCATTCGGCTGTGAGATATTTTGGGAATCGGATATCTGCAATATCGCACGAGAGATACGGGGGGAGAGAGAGAGAAAGAGACACAGAGTGTTTGGATTTAAGTGACAGTAGGATTATGTGTATGTTGGATACAGTATTTGGACAGCAAGGTCTTAATTAATTGTATTATGATCGAGTTTCACTATTTGATTTTAATTTAGTTTGAGTAGTAAGAGTTGTTGGTATGTTTAGTAGGTCAGCCCATGTGGCCAATTGGCTTCCATAACACAGTCTAGCTAAAACTATTTTATTATGCATAAGTGTGCGCTTATTTAGCAATCATTGATCAATAATTGGAATTTTTATGACTCCATTATATTGGCATAGAAGGCCAAAAGTCGTTTATTTATTGATTTATTTAACAAAAAAATCAGTGGAAATGATTTGGAAAAGGCGAAGCTAAAAAATCATTTAACTAGAAAATTTATTTCCTTAATTTTGAATATTTATTATTTTTCAATTTATTAATTTTATTGTTATTTACAAAAAAGTATATATATTTTTCTTTTTTATATTTTATGATTTATATTTATATGTATTTTGAAAATAAATATTTTTGTAATGTACTGCATTTTGAAAAAATGTATTTGTTGGGCTCAGCAATCATCGCTTCATTGTAATTAAGAGCGGCAGTTCATAGAGTATGTTATCATGTAAGAGAATTTGTAACGGAGATCACGCTCTCCCTTTTGCGTTGTCTCTTTCACCCACGCACCGGCTCAGCTTAATCCGCCGGCTCGCGTACATTGTAATTAGTATGCAATTAACTCTTGTTTAGAGCAGATGCTGTGTTAGATTGACTATTACAAACATAGTAGCGGACAGCACGACAGCCTAGTCGCTTGCTCGCGTCTATCACATAAACTCTGTAAACTCTAATAATCGCTAATAAACTAATCACTAAGTAAATTCAATCGTTTAATAATTTAAAGCTATTCGAAAAATCTCGATAGCTCAACAGTATTTATTTTAATAATTTATCTTTTTTAATAATTTATTTTTATATTGGTTTTTGCTAGCCCTTAATCATGCAGCCCACAGAATATCTTGACAGATTTCTGAATGCTGCATATTATGCAATTTAAAGATGATTTTAAGTGTCTTTCACATATATGTATGTGTTAGACCGTAAAATATCAACAATTAATTGTACATAGGCAAGCTAAGCACATATAACAATGTCTCTTTTCAGCCAGTGTGCAAATGAGGCTGTCAAAAATCGTATGCAAGTTTATTAGGTGTGGCCAATGGTGCGTATGCGTGTTGGTGTTGCATGCTTGGGCACGTGGGAGCAGTGTTGTCAGCTGTTGAGCTCCACAGTAAGTTGAATTGTGGATAAAAGCTCAAACAGGCTAAAATGTATGAAAAAAAAAATTTGAAATAGCGCGCTAGATTCCTCTGGGTATTTCCTCTAAGTATTTTCTTTAAGTATTTTTTCTAGGTATTTCCTCTAAGTATTTCCTCTAAGTATTTCCCCTGTGAGTATTTCTTGTAAGTATTCCCTTCGGTCACTGCTTAGCTGATCGATCACACACTTCACTTAACTTCACTGTACTGCACTGCACGTCTGACCCCTACCAGGCGACTGAAGAAATGGTGCAGCTGCTGCTCTTTATATAGGTCGACTTTTACTCAAACACGAAGACGCTCTCAAATGCTAAGCCTGCTACCAGGTATAGTGTCGTTGCAGTCGACCTTCAAGTGAGCGATGAGAACAATGGGAACACTCTCTGATGCTGCGAGCATTCTAGCTTTGTTTTACTCAAATATTAATACCAAATGAATACTGCTACATACATGTAGACAATTTAAATGATCTTTCGTAGTTATGCAGGCATATAGACGCGGAGAGAGATATGTATGTGATGTAGAGAGGGAGGGAGAGAGAGAGACAGATAGACAACTACACTTACGAATAGATATACAGCCACTCAAACATTCATAGTCAAATCGGATTACCTCATTACCCTGCTAAATATTGATATTATATATACTAATATTTATAATTTTTAGACGGCATAGAAAGCAGTTTCTTGTGTTCTATAGATCTCTTAAGGACGAGGATTTCTGCATGGTATGGCTCAATATTTCATAATAATTTTCATTGGATTTATTATCGATAGGCTAGATCTAGCCTGATATAAGCTCGACTGGCAACACTGTGTGGGTGTGGGCAGAAAGTTTCGGGAAGGGCACGGACGCGTGCTTGTCGCTTTGTTAGCCCATATACTTGAACGTCAAGTGCTTACCCCGGCTCTTATCTCCACAGCTGTGCGCGCTGCGTTGAACACGTGACCAAGAGCGAGCCACTGCACCCTTTTTACTGTGTGCAACAATTAACAGTTGGTTTTTAGATCGTGCTAGCTCACACACACACACACACACACGCTCACGCTTTGTGTCTATGTGGCCCCTAAGATCGATTGTGGCAATCGATTATGTCGATGATTTATGGCATTCGAATTTTTATTAGGGTTCAGTTGGGCATATTCGTGTCAATGACCAAAATCAAATGCATTCTCAATGCTCCACTTCCATGCAAATGCACAACAACAATAACAACAACAACAATTCTCTGAGTCAATAGCCAAACATAAAATTTGATTACAACAACAACAACAACAACAAATGCCGAGAACAAATGTTCTTTGTTACATGAAACCACAGAATAAACCACCATCGATGCTGTCAGTGGCTATTTGTGGGTTGACTCATACTCTTTGTACTCTCTGACTAACCCAAACTGTGGTAATTGTGGTTATTATTGTCTTTATATTGTGACCACCAATGTATCATATATGAATCTGTGAATTAAGCATTTTGCATTGCATACCAAAAATTCATTATATTGAAATGTCTATTTCACTATCATAAATATTTCTATGCAACGAAAATATACAATCTTAAACAATTTAGAAAATCTAACAAGTATTTCTATAGTATAATATTAATTTATTTAGACATATTTTTTAAAAATTTATATAAATATAAAACAATGACAAATTGAGATTTATAAAATTATATTGAAATGAATGATTTCAATGAATGAAAGAAATTGGGATCTTGTTTTGAAATTTAAGAATCATTTTTTAAAGCGGCGAAATTTGATTCCCTTTTAGACTAGAAATAATATAAAGAGCTTATATGCTCTAAAAATATTTTTAGAGAGATATATATATATATATATATTAATATATATATTTTTGTAAAATAAAATGTGTACTTATAATTATATTCAATAGTGGGAATTTATTATTATTTTTGTATACATTTCGGAACAACAGGAACTTTTGGTGATATGTATATAATTTTTAAAAGTATAAATAATATTAACTGTCACTTTCTACATATTTTTTTAAACTAAGTATATACATTTTTTTTAATAAAAAAATTTTTGTTATTTCAGTACAATTCTAGTTTATCTGAAACAAATTTAAACTATAGAATTGTTTTTCTTTTGTTTTCTATTATTACTATAGGATTATAATGCGCTAAGCTGAGCAGATTAATTAATTAAATTAAATTATCATGCAAAAGTTGTTTTTTAATATTAAAAATCGGAGAATATAAATCTAATTACTCCTTTAACTTTCGCTGCCTCTGTCAGTTTTGTACCACAATTTGCCAGGTAAATGCAGCTTCAACTTTCAGGACTTACTTCGATCACTTTTGATTGACTCTCAGAGCCATTTCGATGCGCTGCTGATTCAGTGCATGTTGACCGCAGGCAGCTAATGCAAATGCATAATCATTTTGACGGCTCCCTACAGACACACTCATCCTTGAGCAGCAGCCAAGGGTATATATAGGAAATATTCGAGTGCCCAGTACGAAGTTATCTGGTACGAAACACAATTGCGGTGCAGAAAATAAATTATAAGCAAAGTTTCGAACCCTTGAGGCGATGCACGTTCTGTCCGCAGAGTTTCTCACGCCACAAATGCAGACAAAAGAGAAGACTTGTCTTAAATCTCCTTTTGGCCATGTATTACATGCTGTGAGTGTGTAAGTGTGTTTGTGTGTGTGTAAGTGTGTTTGTGTCTATCGATGACCTCTTTTTGGCAGCCAGGCTGAGTGGAATGTATGTGTAGGCTTTGGCTTTACTGCTTGCCTGCTGGAGAGCTTTATGTGGCCTGAGTTGGCCTGGCCTGGTTTCGCTTGGCAGCCGGTCTAATTAAGCTATGCCAATCTGCATGCCTGCTGAAAACTCACACTCCCCCCGGGGGAGTCTGCTCTAATCAAGCCAGCAGCAGCTGGCGCAAAAACAAGAAGAAAACAAAAAAACTTTATATATATTTCGCTATGGCCAAACAATCAGGGAATCAGTGTCATGATCTCGAACTTGAGCCCCCATGCGGCTGACTAGCTGTTTGCCTGCTTGGCTGATAAAGCCAAGATCCCGCGCCTCGCATAGCCAAATTGAAAAATGCTCAATGGCTTCATGGCCTGCTGTCTGCCGTTGCTTTTGCTTTTGGCTCAAAGTCAAGTTGAAGGTTCAATGAAATGCGGCAGCTGCAAAATGCAGCGGGCCGCGGACCGCAGGCCAAAAGACGTTGCCATGCTCTGAGACGCGCATATATTACAAGTGGATACCCAGAGCCCAAAAGTCGTGATGATGTAGACGTTGTACACGCTCTTGCTGTTCGCTGCTGCCCGCCTCTGCTTCATTTGGTCTGGCCTATGCCAAAAAAAAAAACAAAAAAAAAACTATATATATACATACATATATTTTCGCCCGTTCCATGCTTTAAACGAATTTAATGATGCTGCCCGCAACATCGTCGTCGTCGTGGCTGTCTCTCGCCATAAGATTGACTGTCTATCTCGGCTCATGGCCTGCTCTGTCTATGCCTTCTGTCTGTCTCTCAGTCGGCCCGTCCCTCCGGCTGTGTCAGTCTTTGGCCTGCCATATGCTCCATGTCTGCGCATGCATGTCGCCTTTTCTGGCGGCAGGGCTTGCACAGATCGCTGCATAGACATGCCAAAGCGTTGACTC